GTCCTGCTCTCTCACTGGCTGGGAGCCTGTGGGCTGACAGTGCTGTACAGGGCAGCAGGGCCTTGGCATAAACACGGAGTTGGACCTGGAGGTGCAGTCACTAGAGGTGGGATCAACGCGCGCTCCGCAGCAGGCCGTCCTCAGAGGAGATCTGAGTGGCGCACCCCCGTGAGGACACAGAGGGAGCTTCCGGGGCACCCTGGACGGTCTTCTAGTTCACAGTCCCCATTGTTCCAAGGCCTCGCTGCATTCCTACCAGGGGTCCCTAGCTTACACTAGCTGGGGCCATTTTCTGCAACCCAAAGGGGTTCTAATTATTACCCGACCAAGATTTGTTTGAAGACGTTCTTTGAAGTAAGTCGTGTTGTTATTACTCTTTGGAGGCTGATATGGGGATCCGAACCCTTGACGTTGGTGTTATCAACACCAAGCTAGCTCTAACCAACTGAGCTAACCGGCCAGCCTTGTTTACAAGTTTTAACTTTAAAAATAACCACAATGTAAGGCTATATATCTTGAGAGAGGCTTGAGTCACACAGGTGGATGCACTTGTAAAAACTCATCAAATGGAAAACTTGATTTGTGCATTTTTTGATAGCTAGATTTTACCTTAAAAGAAAAAAAAACTGTACATAACAACAAAGTAACCTAAATCCCCTAGAATAAAGGAACTGAATCTTTTAAAGTGATTAAGTATCCACACAATGAAATGTTATACAGCCAATAAAACGTTTCAAAGGCTAATAGCAGAGCAGAACGCTTCTGTTAATGTGTAGAGAAAGGAACAGGACAAGAAATCTTTCTGGTCCTAATTTTAGAACGCATATACGTGTACTGCATACTCATGTGTAAGACTCGGCGTATATGTTATATGAATATGCACGGAATAAAACTGGAAGAGAATAGACTGAGATGTTAAACATGGTTTTGTCTGCGGGTAATTTTCATTTTCTCTGTATTTCTTCGTTTTCTAAGTTCTCTCTGGTTTGAATGAAATCCCCACCTTCTATTTGAGCCTCTGTTTCCTCATCTGTGAATGTCATCATCCCTGACTCGCGCTTAATCATAAATAAGACAGTTTATTTAGCACAGGGCCTCCTCCTAGGAAGCCTCCAGCAGACCTGAGCATCTGTCCTGTCCTGCCCTCCTTTAGGCCAATGAGGAGGGGAATGGCTTTTCCCATTTTCTCTCAGACCACCTAGAGGGAAGAGGGGCAAGGATCTGTCTGCTGCTATTTCATGAGAAGCCACCAAGGGAAGGCAGTGACAGGCCAGAGTCCCTCGCAAGGTCTAGAACTCAAGTCACCCTGGAGCTTCCTGCGCCAGCCCTGCTCTGTCCTGGGCAATCCAAGGCAGGCAGGTTTTCTGGAAGCCGGGTTGTCTGCCCTAATCCACTGCAACATATTTATGGAAATGCTTGCTACACTCTCCCAGGGTGGACTTGCAGAGGATTCTTCCACTGTTTGCTTTCTCTGGAAAACCACCAAGTTAGCCCTTCTCAACGCCTCCCCTCACCCACCACCCACGCTCCAGATTTCCCCACCCTGTGTTCATCGCATTAGAAGCCAGTGTGGCTTCACCAAGAGATACAAAGGAGTGCTTTTGTCCCCTTGCACTGGCTCCTCTAGGGCCAGAGGAGACCTGAGCTGAGCTTGCTGCACCCTGAGAGCTAGTGACACCCTCCTGACCCAGACCCCTCCTGTTATACACTTACTCTCAAATAATGTCGCTTACCATGTCACTAATTCAGTGACTCATCAGGTGGACTCATCAGCTCCAAGCCTCATAACATACTCCACAGAACAAAGACAATTCCTGCAGGGAATCCCGCTGTGGGTAAGACATTGCACTAGACACTTCACATAACTCTGGTCCTTATTCTTACCCTACACCCTACACAATAAGTACTGTAATCCCATTCACAGTAGAGAACACAGAGACTCAGAGAGGTAATGTGTCACGCCTAAGCTCTTTTGCACTGCTGCACTGTACGCCAGGGTATGGACACTGAGGCCACTCTTGCTGGAGGAGCAGAAAGGGGTGTACCACACAGAATTAGGTGGGCAGAGAAGCAGGCGGGGATGCCACACAGCCAGGGACAGTGCAGCCAGAAGGAAAGCCCCACCACCACACCTGGCTGCTCTGGTCACAACGTACCTTTTAAAACCAGAGGGCATGGAGTGGGAGTGAACAGGGGGGATAAAGATATTGGTTGGATTTTCACAACTTGTGTATGATCATGCCATGCTTGTGTGAATAAAAGATGAGCAGCTTTTTGTAAGAGAAGACTGATTACAATATATGAGTGTGATGATTTTGCAGATGAAGTCGGGGGTCTCTGTACTGGAAAGGATCAGTCAGGCACCACGTGGGTGGGCAGCTTTATTCTTTCTGCTCGTCCTAAGCCAGTTCTTATGACAAGCAGAGAAACCAAAGTCCTCTGAGGACCTCTTCACAGGGTATGGCCGGTTCTGGAGTCTGGCCAAAGGATGGGAGAGTAAGTAGGGTTGAGAAGAGCTCAGACTACCCATGCCACGCAGTTACCTGGGCTGTGGTGGCCCTACCCCAGGCATGACAGGTCCCCCACCTACTCCCAGGTCTAAGACATCTGTTTCCTCATTCTAGGAGCTCTGTCAGAAGAGAGCAGCGGAAGTGGAGGTCCTGGCCAACTGATCGTCAACCTACCTCGCTGCTGCTGTCCTCTGCACCCAGCCCCTTCCCAGCTCTTGCCACACCTGGTAGGAATAACTTGTTCACTCTCTCATCCCTGCAATGCCACAGGCTCCGGGGAGGCAGGGCTGTTCCTGCACACACCCCACCCAACCATTCTCACACACACATCCCAGGGTCTACAGTCCTATGTTTGCATTCAGAAGCAACACAGAGCATCCTTGGACCCAGGGAAGAAAACTTCCACTCTGCTGGGCTGGGAAATCATCTCAGGAGGCCTTCCCTCCCAGGCTGGGGAGATCACCAACCCTATGGTCAGAATTACAACCCAGAGGGACTTGTTCCCTAATCCTGCAAGAGCTTGGGGAGAAGCCTAGAGTCAATGCTTCCCACCTCACCCTCCCCACTGCCTCTTTACACACCAATATCTCAACATGGTGTGTTCAATCAACCAGAGGTTGAGGGACCAGGCAGAGCCAGGTGGGAGCCACGGAGGTTAAAGGAGGAAGTGGAGGAGGAGGTCCACCCTCCTTTTCAGGCCCAAATTCCACTTTGCTGCATACTTTCCCTAAGTACAGCAGTCCTTCACACTTTAGTGAGAATTAGCTTGTTATATTGCTTCCTTTAAGGAGGGGCTTAGCATGACAGCCCTGGACACCCATTATAAAAAGGTAATGATTGAGGACGTGGAGGAAGGAGAGGGATGTCTGCAAAAATCTACCTTCCCTAATAATCGAGAATGCTAAGGGTATGTGTTCTCAACTCACTTTGCCCACCCACCCTTACTCTGAAGGAGCAGGGACCCCCACTGTGTCAGTTTGGTAACATCTGCCTCACACTAAAGACAAATCAGCAGACAGGTGCACTTGACATTTAGCCATTTTTAATGTCCAAAAGCTCTGTACAAAAAAAAAAAAAAAAAAAAATCATGAATGAATCCTCACAATACCCCTGTGAGGTATGTAAGTAAGTATTATTCTCCCGTTTTGCAGATTGGGAAACTGAGGCAGAGAGGTAAAGTGACCGGCCAGTGGTCCCAGCAAAGCTTAAAGTCAGGACCAACCAAAAGAACACAAAGGATTCCTCCCAGTTCAGCCCCGATCTCTGACTCCTTATCTAGACCTTGTCTGCAAAGAAATTAAAACTTTTTAATACATGCAAAAATAAAAATAACAACAAATCTAGAAAGGTAGTGAACAGACATACAGTAGTTCTGCGAAAGAATTCAGCCAAGAGGGTCAAACGTTTTCCAATACTCGGTAGATGTAAACAACTTCAGCATCTTCTCTCTTCAAATATCATGAGCAATGCCACATCCGTTTTTCTGCAGATGTGCACAAACCTAACCAAAGAGAGGCTTCCCTGGCCCCCCACAGGTCAGGCTGGGAGGACACTTCAGCAACACCAGTCCCCAGCAGGGAGAGATGCAAATCTGGCCCCTCTCTGCCACCTCTTCCGAGCAGCCTTCCCACTGTGTGGACAGAGTTGATCTGGCAGCCTTTAGCTCAGCAGGGTCTGGCCCTTTCTGTTTCCACTGGAGGCAGCTCAAAGATCCTCGGCAAGGATGGCCTGGAGTCCAGATGACTCCCTCCCGCCATCCTTAGCCCACTCCTGCACACTCCCCTGATCACAAGGGCCGTCCCAGCACCCACCCTTGACCGCTGCAGCAGGTGGGGGCCCTGGGCCATCTTGGGCCACCGGGGCTGGGAGGAGGTGCAGAGGGACCCGCAGCTCAAGGCTTTGGCTTCCATGGCACCTGCCACCCAGGTTCCCAGGCAGATCAGGCAGGCCTCTTCCACTGTGCCCGTCTGCCTCTGGAAGCTCTTCCCTCCCCGAGAGGGAGTCCTCGATGTTTCCAGCTCCTTGGGAAACCACTACCACCCTGCCAGCCCCAGGAGAAGGCAACAGGGGAATGGAAACAGAGGCAGAGGCCCCAGCCAGCCCCAACAGACCATGCAGGTGGTCCTACCTGCGGCCTCCCAGGTTGGAGATGGGGGCATGAGAAGGAAGAAAACTGGGGGAAGCTGCCTTTAAAGTAATAAATCCACCCAGAATGGTCTTCACCCCTCCTTCCCCACCTCAGGCAGCAGAGAGGGGAGAGACCTCAGGGTGAGCAGCAAGAACAGAAAGGGCAAGACACTGACACTGGCTGGGGTCTGCTCCAGGCCAGGGGCTGTCGGAACCGCTCTGAGAGGGGAGAGAAGAGAGCAGGGTGGCAATTAGCTCTGTTTGGCAATTTGGGGAGTGAGCTCCTTGCAGGCCAAACGCCGGCCCGTCTGCGAGGTGCACACACCCGGGTGGGCCGTCCCTGCGCCTGTGTGGTTTACAAGATATGACTGTGTGCTGTCTAAATGTCCTATCGAAAGTTCGTTCAAAAAGGTTCCCAATTCACCCCAGTCTCTCCAGAAAGCCAGCACCCCCAGGGCCACTTCCAGTGAAGCCCACCCAGGACACCCCCAGCCTGCATGGGGCACTGTGGGAGGGGCAGGGAGGACACCCCTACAGGAAGTCCCCAGCAGCAGACGGCTCCGGACTGTGGCTCTGCTCCTGCCACCGGTAGCGCAGCCTCGAGAAGGGCTGGTCCTGCAAGCTCTCCAGCTCAGGGAAGCCCAGCTGGTTGAGGATCTCATAGACTCCAGCCTTCGATGCCACCTGGGAGGAGAGCAGAGGCAGGGGCAGCATTTCAGTGGAGGGAGGGAGTCATTCGGTCACCCTGCCCCTTTGTCATGCCATCCTCCCCTTGCTGGGTTCTGAACACGGGGACAGCGACCCAGACACATCTGTGTTTTGAACTCTGTTAACACCTCTGAGCTTCAGTTTCCTCATAGCAGGGAAAAGCGTTGAACTCGCAGGCCTGTCTCCAGCAGGACACAGAAAGCACTTGGCAGTCAGTAAGCTCAGCATACAGGGAGCAGCACGGAAGACCCCGAGCAGATACTCAGCAGCCCAGCCCGCACGGAGGGCTGCAGAAGGTGGCGGGGATGCAGGCAAACAAGAGCCCCTTGGCCCTGGGCTGCAGGCCTCAGCCCCCAGCAGAATCGGCACATGGCCCTGTGGCCCAGTGGCCCAGTCCCAGCACCAGACTCGAACCACCCAACAAGCAGTCCCCCTCTCTCCCACCATCCTGAAGAATGGGGAACTGCAACCTCCGCTTGGAACAAAGGGACAGGTTTGTTCCTCTCTCTGGTTCCCCCAAGCAAAAAGTGTCCTCATCCCCCGGCCCACCTCCACCCTACCCCAGGGGCTCACAGAGGAAGCTGAGCCCAGGCTGGCTCAAGAGTGTGGCCCCAACATGGCTTTGGCGTGACCCCCATATCAGGTGTCCTGACTCAAACACCTGTCTACATGCATGACAGGTCATTTCAAGCACTTCCCCACCCTGATGTCACAAGGACCACCCCCCAGGCTGTCCTCGGCAGCCCCCACTCCTGTCACTGGGCACTGCCATGGCCTCCCTGCCTCTGTTCCCTGGTAGCTCTGAAGCCACCTGCACACCTGCCAAGCCCCCACCCCACTTCTGTGCCCACCTGGCTGGGTCACCGGCCTCCCGCTGTCCACCACCCACCTCAAGGAAGCTAATTCCAGCCTTGAGTCAGGATTAGAACAGACAGGACCTGTGAGTGAGGTCAGGAGAGGCCAGCTTCTTGGCAGACGGGTAATTACAGGCCACCTGCCGAGGAGGGAAGGAGGCCTCTCTCCTGACCTGGAGGTGCCAAGGCCACAGCTCTGACTCTAAAAGCAGCTGAGCAGAGGAAGAGCCAGGAGGCCAAACAGAGGGACTGAGAAGGTCAGATGGTGAGGACGGCATCTTAGGCAAGTACATGGTGGAGCCAACCAGCCAGCTCTAATGGCGACCTGAAACAAGCTACTACCTTCCCTGTGCTGTCTCCTCCTCTGTGAAATGGGAGAGTAGCAGTCACACTCGTTAAGGCATGCCTGCCTAGCACAGGCCTGGCGGATGGTGCCATGTGGACCTCATCAATCCCACCACAACCCTCCAGGCTGGTCCAATAGCATGAATGTTGATTTCCTTCTTATTGTTGAGGACAGCAGGCTTGGAAGGGTTGACTAACTTGTCCAAGGTCCTAGCTGGAAGGAGACAGGGGCAGGGCCACCACAGCCTTGCACTTGGCCCTCACAGGGCACAGGTGA